TGGTTAATTTTGATTGGTGGAATTTTGTAATTTACCAATAAAATTTTCGAAATTTCCTTATTCGAAAATGTGGACAGATTAAGGGATAGATGATCTACACTGTATAATAAATAATAATAATAACAACAACAATAACTTAACATGTGGCTCTACTAATAATATTATTATTTATTATACAATCAGTAGGTCGCAATATATATATATTGAGACCTACTTATGTTAGACTGTTACCTACGTATGACATGTAGATCACAAAACTCAAGTCATTTGACGTTATACTGTTACCTATGTATGATGTGTGGATCGCAAAACTCAAGTCATGCCAATTGAGAACCACTGAGACATGCACCAGTATGACGTGCATTTTGTATTTTAGGATACGCTCAAATGATGTACAATTTCTATTTTTCACATCACTCATTTATCCATATCTATGTGAATTGCTGACCTATTATATCTACATACTTTACTGTCTCATTATACCTATGTGGATTGCTGTTCCAAAATTTTAGTAAAGGTCTTTAAAAAATCTGTTTGCAATTCGATTAAAATCATGTATTAAGAGTTAGTATACTAATTAATCTACCAAAATAATCTAATAATTATATCCGTTCTTGAGATTTTTGATTAAAAGAGAAATCTCTTTATATAATCTAGATATCGAAGTATTAATTTTTTATTTGAATTTTTTCTCCTACTAATTGTAAGAGGCGACAAAAATCCCCATATCAGAATATATAACTAGTCAAATGTAGCAATCTCTCTCCTTCAGAAATTACTATTTAACTAGGTAATATTATCTTGATACCTTATACCCACTTTGCTGAAAGATTTATAATGATTATGCATATTCAATGATTACTAAAGATTTATTTTTCAATTCTTTTTTGTGCGGAGTAGTAGGAACTTTCATTTTAGCCTCAAAGTTTCGTTTATATTCCAAGAAAGCGACCTCGTCCATACTCTCACGCTCTTTTTTCTTTTTTCTCTCAAGTTTGAAAAAAAAAACTAATAGTTATCTTATATAGAATATCCAGAATCGAAGTTTAAATAGATAGTTCCTAATACCTAGCCCACATATTTCGTAACTGATCACTTTTCCTCTCAAATCCCCATGTGCGTCTCAATATAATGAACCACATAACTGCAATAATTAATAGAATAAGAAAAATATATGCTGATAGAGGTGACATCAAAGTGCTTGCCACAATGGGAATTGTTCCTATCGGAGGAATCAGAGATTCGGCACTATGTGCCATCTGGGAATTTGATTCAATCAAAGAGGACATATTATTTTCCGGCTGTGCAAGGTAAGGGGTCATATTCGGTATTTCCTGAAGTGTATTGTTGTTAGTTTTGCTAATATCGATTTCGTCACTTACCTTGGGAATAATCTCGGTATCATTTTTTCTGGGTAGAAAATATTGACTGAGATCTTTACTGGATGAGGCATAGCCTCGAATCTCTGATTCCTCACTAGACACGTAAGTGTCATGATTTGAAGAATTGCCTAACGGTCTGTTTTGCAATACTGTAGATATATCGTCAGACTTGGTTATGGAACTTTGTTCCTCACTCTGCGTATTTTTTTTGTTGTTTCCACCAACTATGGGTTTTGATATAGCCTCCAATTTCAGATGCTCGAGTTCATTGACCTTTGATTCCAATGAGCTCTTTATACTAATTCAGCTATTTTAGATTTGAGAGATAAATTTTCGGATTCTTTTTTCAATGAGTCATTTTGAATAGAAATTACATCTTCCTGAGCTGAAGACAACTTACCTTCCAATATCTTAATCATAGACTCAAGTGATCTAATTTTCTTGGATTTTATATCATTCTCAGCTTTGGACTTTGCAAGAGAAATGTCTTTATTAGCGTTTTCAATCTGTAAACGCCTAGCTTCATCAATGAGTTTGAGATCATGAGTACGTAATTTCTGGATCTCGGTGTTAGCCCCTCCCAGTTTTTTACTCCACATCTTTCTATCCCGATCCCATCCCTTCCTTTCTCGATCAAAATTTTCCTCTTGCTTTATGTATTTATCCCGTAACTCACTGTTATAGTTACGTAATTTAGAAGAAGATTGGAGGATATGATGTATTTCTTCCTCAAGATCTTTAACATATGTCATATCAAATAATAAATAATATAATAAAAAAATCAATTAAATCACAAACTTCCGTTATCCACCTTTCTACCAAAACACAAAAAATGGTAAGTTTTTATTGCACTGCTTGTGGTCATACTAATCGAATGTTGACTGAAGATATTAATCAAATACTAATAAAAAAGAATAAATCGAATAAAGATTAGATATTAATTGATATATCTAAATCGAATATTCACCAAAATAGAATTGGATGTTAACCAAATGAAGATTAAATATTAACCAATATATCTAAATCAAATATTTACTGAAATAGATTGAAAAACTTTCGAATTTATATCTAAATATTTTTTTTATTTTTTATAAATAGATCATGACACAAAACTCTGAAAAAATAATTCGATATCTGCGATCTGATGCAACTCCTTTATCAGATGATAATATACAAGATATCATTAATGCCAGAAATTTGATGAAACGTGCATCAGAAGCTATGGCTATCAAATATAAAATATCAACAAGGCGTGTATATCAAATATGGAGGGAAAATCATCCTCCAATAGATCCTAGGGAAATGATGTTGCAATCAAATATTGGCGGAGACAATACGATTAATAAAACCGATATGAGCATGAAAACTCGATCCATAAATCACATTACACATTTTGTAGAAACTCCTATCGTTACTTTGGATATACAGATAAAGAGGAAAAAACCGAGATCTAAGACTAATCGAATTTTTGACCCATCTAATACTGCTGAAATTATAACAAAAAAAGATGACCTATACACTTTAATCGAACGTAATCGTAAAGAAACAGAAGAAGCTGAACGTGAATCAGAAAGGATTTTAGCCATAAAGTGACTGCTTTCAGCAAATTACAACTAATCTATCTTTGCTTTCTCTATATGATATTGGTAATTTTTTCGTTTAAGTTATCAGATTCTTTTTTATAGCCACTGTGTGACTGCCTTCAGCAAACCCGCAACTTTTTATTGAGTTCGATTAATTTAACATTGGAATCGAGTACTGCATATAGCGATTTTTCTAATTCCCCATAGCTCATTGGGGTGTCTTACATTATATGATTTTACAAACATAGTCGATCACATATATAAATTTTCATATATGACAATTTTTTGCTGATCTTTTTTTCAATAGTAAACTTTGAATGATTATAA